TGAACTGCACATGAAAGGGTTTCCTACCACACACAGCCTCCAATGTGAGACGTGGAGAAGACAGGAAACCCCTGAATAAAGTCATGTACTATTTTACAATGGTTCTTGAGCTTTTTTCCAACACCTAGAACTTGATACTTTATCAAAACGTACCCACAGGATGAGAATAATGAAATGGTACATGCAAAGGGATGGCTGGGTCACTGTAGCCCACCCCCAGGTAAGTAGTGACAGCCATCCCACATGGTAGAGGGAGAAGCAGGCTTGGAATCTGGCCTCCAGAGAAGAATGTGAAATAATTTCTCTCAACACTTTTGTTTAAAATGTTGATCCTAGGGCTTCACACCCCAGGAACTGAGATTCCGAGATACTGGACCCAGTATCTTCCTTTCATAATATGTTCTTCAGGTGATTTTGATGCAGGTAGTCTGTGGTGCCTGCTTTAAGGAACAACTGATCTAGTCCCACTTCATGGTGGCCTTACCTTGAGTCGCGAAGATGAGCAAAGGGGTGGGGACTTGGCCTAGGAGTTAGTATACTGTTTGGAATGCCTGTATCTCATATTAGCATATCTGGGTTCAAGTCCCAGCTTCAATCCTGATTCTAGCTTCTTGCCAGTGCAGAACCTGGGAGGCAGCAGGTGATGGCTCAAGTAGTTAGGTCCCTACCACCCACATGGGAGGCCTGTACTGAGTTTCCAGTGCCTGACTTTGGCCAACCCTAGCCCCAGCTGTTGCAGGCATTTGGGGAATGAACCTAAGATGGAAGAGCTCTCCGCTTCTCTCTGTGTAGGTTTCTGTCTCTGTCTCCTTCTCTCCACCCAGCCCCCTCCCACTTTTCAAAAACAAACAACAACAAAAGATGGGCAGAGTGTTGGCCAAGTTTCCCCCTAGGGAAACTTTATAGTCTCTCAAAAAGTAATAGGTGCCAGCAGCCTCCAATATCTAAATGCAGATAAATATATTCTGGGGAAGATGACCTATAAACCCACTCATCAACAAAAACGCCCTAGGTCAATCAGAAAAGAACTTTCTTGTAGGACCACATGGTAAGAAAAGGAGAGCAGCCATTAGGAAAGGAGAAAATCAGATTACCTCTGTTTGCAGATGGCATGACTTTGCAGAGAAAGAAACCTAAAGACTCCACCAAATAGCCAATTCACCAACTCATTAGTGAATTTAGTAAAGTTGCAAGATACAAAAATCAACCCATAAAGAACATCAGCATTCTTATATACCAAAACAAACTCACAGAGAAAGAATCTATAAGAGCAGTCTTATTCAGAAGATCTACACACATACCACACACACTCATAGTTTGGAACAAATTTAACTAAGGATATGAAACCTCTTCAACTAAAATTACTAAACCCTGTTCAATTAAAATTACTAAATACTATGAAAGAAATTGGACAAGGCACAAAAGCAACAGAGAGATTGCCCATGTTCATGGATTGGAAGCATCAATATTAAAATGCCATACTACTTAAAGTGATTTATAGATGCAATGCTTTACCCACCAAAATATCAATGACTTTCTTTGCAGGACTAGAAACCACAATCCTAAAATTCCTATGAAAGCATAAAAGACCCAAAATATCCAAAGCCATCTTGAACAAACAGAACAAAGCTAGGGGCCTCCCAATATAAGATTTCAAGACATTATCACAAAGCTATTGTAATCAAAAACAGTATGGTACTGGCATAAAGAAAAAGACATACAGACCAATGAAATAGAATAGAAATCCTAGAAATCAATGCACCCATCTGCAAGCAACTGACCTTTGACAAACATGTCAAAAACCTACAATGGACAAAGTACAACCTCTTCCATAAATGGTGATGGGCCAACTGGACAACGTGTATGCAGAATTTTGAAAGTTGACTCCCTACCTCCCACCCTATATAAAAATCAACTCAAAATGAGTCAAAGCTCTAAATATAAGAGCTGAAACCACAAAACTCCTGGAAGAACATATAAGGGAAGCCTTCAAGACAATGGCATAGGCAATGATTTTTTTGGTAAGACTCCAAAAACACAGAAAACAAAAGCAAAAATAAACATTGTAAAATATCAAACTAAGAAGCTATTGCACAGCAAAGGAAATTATCCACAGTGAAGAAACAACATAAAAAATGAGAAAATATTTGCACACCATGCATCTGACAAAGGATTAACATCTAGAATACATAAGATTCAAAAAAACTCAAAGACAGAAAAATAATCCAGTTAGGAAAAAATTTGAATAAATACAAATAGCCAATTAGTACATCAAAACACCCAATATCATTACTCATCAGGGAAGCACAAATCAAAGTCACAATAAGGTGTCACCTCACTCTAGATAGAAAGGCTATTACATCTGCATCTCATTAGCCACACGTGTGGGCAGCCTTCTACACATGGGCAGGGGAGGGCAGGCCTTCTTCCTTCTCACCTAGCACAGCCGACATGGTGTTCAGGAGCTTTGTGGAGGCTGGGCCTCCGGCCAGGAAGCTGGTCGAGGTTGTAGATGTCACTGATCACAACAGGGCTTTGTTTGATGGACCCTGCACCTGGGTAAGAAGACAGGCCACACCTTTCAAATGCCTGCCGCTGTCTTCATTCTCAAGTTTCCATACAATGCCCACTAAAAATATGTCCGAAAAGCCTGGGAGAAGGCAGACATCAATACAAAATGAGCAGCCACAAGATGGGCCAAGAAAATTGGAGCCAGGGGGCCGGCACTGTGGCATAGCAGGTAAAGCCACCGCCCACAGTGCCAGCATCCCATGTGGGCGCTGGTTCTAGTCCTGGATGCTCCAATTCCAATCCAACTCCCTGCTATGGCCTGGGATAGCAGGAGAAGATGACCAGAGTCCTTGGGCCCCTTCACCCACATTGGGATACCCAGAAGAAGCTCCTGGCTCCTGGCTTCAGATCAGTGCAGCACTGGCCTTTGCAGCCAATTGGGGAATGAACCAGCAGATGGAAGACCTCTCTCTCTCTCTCTGCCTCTCCTTCTCTCTGTTTAACTCTGCCTTTCAAATAAATAAATAAATATTAAAAAAAAAAAGAAAGAAAGAAAATTGGAGCCAGAGAAAGGAAAGCTAAGATGGCGATTCTGACTGTTTTAAAGTCAGGAAGGCAAAGAAAGTGAGAAACAGAATAATCAAGGATGAAATTAAGAAACTTCAGAGGGAAGCTCTGCTCGAAGTTTCTCCCAGAAAAGCATTTGTTGCTAGGGGTGTTGTGGCTGCTGCGGCTACCGTTGCAGTGGTTGCTAAGGTTCCAGTGAAAAAGGTGACCACTGTGCCCAGAAAGCCACAGGCCAGCAGGCAGCGCCTCCTCCCAAAGCTCAGAAGGGCCAGAAAGCACCTGCTCCAAAGGCATCTGACGAGAAAGCAGGAGAGGCTGTAGGAACGTGATGAAGGATCTTTCCAACCAAAAAAAAAGGGCTGTTAACAAGACAGTAACAACTGCCAGTGAGATGTGGGGAAAAGGCTAACCCTTACCCACTGTTGGCATCAACGCAAATTAGTTCAGCCCTTATGGAAAAGAGTAGGGAATTACAAATAAATAAATAAATAAATAAAAACTAAGCATCGATCTATAATGTGAAACAAGGATTCCACTTCTGAGTATGTATCTGAAGGAACTTAAATCAGCATGTGAAAGAGACACTTATACTCCCATATCCATTGCAGCACAATTCACAATAGCCAAGATACAGAATCAACCAAGACATCCCCTGATGGATGAACGTATAAAGAAAATGTGATATATATATATATATATATATATACACAATGGAATATTATTCAGCCATAAAAAATAATGAAATCTTGTCATTTACAGAAAAATGGATGAAACTGGAGATTATTGTATTAAATGAAATTAGCCAGGCTCAGAAAGATGAATAACATATGTTCTTTGTGTATGTTAAAATGATTATTAGAGGTTGGGAAGGGGGTGGAGAGAGGAGGTAGGAGGAGGTTGAATAAGAGTACCAAAACACACTCAGAAGTATCAAGGTCTAGTGTTTCCCCTCACAGTGGGAAGACCAGGGTTCACAATAATGTATTACACACTGTATGAAGAAGTGAAACAGAGGAACTTGGTAGACTCCAGACACACAAGGTAATGAATTGGAAAGGCTAGTTACCTGATCTGATTGGTTCTCCCTGCACATATGTTTTGAAATATTGCACTATAGCCCATAAAAAATGTACAAGTGTTATGCATTAATCAAAAATTTTTTAAAATAAAATAAGGGGAAAAAAGAAAGACAAGAGGAGTAGCATCATATGAACCACAGACCCTGCCCACTAAAATTCCTGTTACATGAAGTAACATCCTTCTACATAAAGCCTGTGTCCCTTGGAGATAAAATTCCTGGAAAACAGAGCTTTTATTGCTTTGTTTTAGAAAGAGTTCAGGGCGAGTCTCTCCATTATAAAATATGAGCAAGTTAAGAGCTTAGTATATTCCAAAGCATCATAAAATCTAACATTATTACTGGCTTGATTCCAATGGTGAGCTTTTAAGAGGAGCAAAATAATAAGGCTTGTTTCTGTGAGTGCTCTGACAGAAGAGAAGGGGCTTCACAGTTGAGGGGCGTTCCCCCAGAAACCTGGGAGGAGTGCATCCTTGGAGGTCCAAGTCCCAGACACAAGAACACACTCAGCGTTCAGGAACAGCCCCTCTCTGGGGGAGTTCAGTGTCTCTCCAGGTGTGTGAGTGAAGGAAACCAAACATAGACTAAGGAGGAACTGGCAAGCTTAGCTCCCAACCAGACTTAATCCAATGAAGTGAAATGCAAGCTACACAATGCAGTCAAGCAAAGGAACCAGGAAGATAATGCAGGGCCCTCCTCTCCACCGGAATGCAGCAGGCTCAACCCTCTGTGGCAACCTGATGCCCCATGGCCTTCCCAACCAGGATGCTTTTCTATTCTGTCCTACTGGTGTCTGTTGAGTGCCTACTGTATGCTAGGGAGTGGGGGTTCACAGTGTGTATACCTGTCATTCCAGAGCACTGTCCAGTTTCACTTGACATAAGAAGACACCTGTGAAGTTCCCTGTGGAATTTTAAACAACAAAGGATCAGAAACTCAAATTGTAAGATCTGAAAGCACAAGCTACTTATCTGCGGATTATATCCCAAAGGTTTCTTTTTAAATTTATTTCAGAGATCAGAACACATTTTTACTATGGTGAAGTGTTAGGCATGGCCATCAGGTATTCAGTCTAAACCTAATGAATCTACATAAGTGAAATCATAATTACATGGGCAATGAAAACAGGGGCACATTTATGCTACATTAATATAATTAAAAGTAAAATGCTTAAAATAGTTAGCTTCAGTAATGCTATCCTATAAATAATATTTAACTGAAATTTGATGAAAATTAGAATTTTAAAATTTTGTAGAAAGTATGAGGAGGCCGGCGCCGCAGCTCAATAGTCTAATCCACCACCTACGGCGCCGGCACCCCGGGTTCTAGTCCCAGTCGGGGCGCCGGATTCTGTCCCAGTTGCTCCTCTTCCAGTCCAGCTCTCTGCTGTGGCCCAGGAGTGCAGTGGAGGGTGGCCCAAATCCTTGGGCCCTGCACCTGCATGGGAGACCAGGAGAAGCACCTGGCTTCATCGAATCAGCGCGGTGCGCCAGCCACAGCAGCCATTGAGGGGTGAACCAACGGAAAAGGAAGACCTTTCTCTCTGTCTCTCTCTCACTGTCCACTCTGCCTGTAAAAAAAAAAAAAAAAAGTTTGAGGAAATATTTAGAGAACTTCAGATTCTTAGCTCACATTTTAAAAAATTTTTCTGTTTATAAAAACAGTATGTTTTCTTTGAAAATTTTGAAAAGTATATTAAAAATAAAATTGCCTAAAAGGAACACAATTTGGGAATTTGGATAGCAGCACTAACCAATTTTCATATCACTGTAAACCACACATACCCATATAACCCCCAAAATACACACAGATTCTTTCACAATATGGATAGCAGCACTAACCAACTTTCATATCACACATATCCATATAAACCTCAAAATATACAGAGAGATTCTTTTACTATTGATAAAAGGCTTTTAACATAGCTCAGATTTTTGGAGTGCACAGAAGAGATCTAAATTATCTGTCCAGATTAACTAGGTGATTTCTAAATAGGCACTCTATCCAATATCATTCACCTCCCATAAAGAATAAGGTCAATTCAAAGGCTGATTTTTTTTTTTTACTTTATGAATTGTTGGGGCTATTGTTTACTTCTTCACTTCCCTCTGAATTAATTAAATTTCACTACAATTTACTTATGATTGATTTCCAGATTTAGATTCAGAATCATATACACTACAGCTAATAATTATAAATGCAAATAATCCTTAAGCAGCCATAGTTTCTTCCAAACAGTTATTTTTTCAGAAAATTTGAGTAATGCATCCAGTAGGAAAGACATTGCCTTGGGACACTAAATGACAGATAAAATAAATACCAACTAATTACTAAAGAATCCAGCCTGAAATCATTTCCAATTGTGTCAAAGGCCACAGGTGGAGCTTTTGTTTAGTCTGTGTTTCATAGAGGAGTACCTGGGTTCAATTCTCATCTCTGGCTGCCTCCTAATGCACACTGTGGTAGGGGGCATTGATAACTTAATTGGGTTCCTGCCATCCACGTGGGAGACCAACTGAGTTCCATGCTCCTGTCAGTCTAGCCCAGCCCCAGCCATGTGAGCAGATGAAATTTCTCTCTCAACTCTCTCCCAAATAAATAAGAAAATAATTTTTTAAATCAAAGGGTATTAGTTAGTCTTTCCTCATATGTAATTAATATTAGGTCTCAACTACACTGGATTAAATACTGGACACCCAGATAACTGATAAAACATTATTTTGGTGTATGACTATGAGGTTGTTTCTGGAAGAAGTTAGCGTGAAGCAGGACACTCTTGCCAATGTAGGCAAGCCCTGTCCAGCTTGTTGAGGCCTGGAAACAAGAAAAGGGCACGGGAAAGGTGGATCTACTGTGTCTTCTAGAGCTGAACATCCACCTTCTTCTGTGCCCAGACATCCTAACTGCAGGTTCTCGGGACTCCAGACTGAGGGACTTGCCCCAGCAGCCGCCAGCTTCTCAGGTCCTGTCCTTGGGCTTGGATTGGGAGTTACCACCACCTGCTCTCCTGCTGCTCAGCCTTGGAGCTCAGCCTGAAGTCCAACACCAGCGTCCCTGTCTCTCCGGCTTTCAGCTGGCACATAAGGGGACTTGTCATCCTCTGTAACTGCCTGAGCCAATTCCCAGTGTCAATCCCCTTCCATACATTAATATATCCTATTGGTTCTAGCCTCTGGAAAACCCTAACACTTTCTATAAGGCAATGCTTGCTTTGAATAAACTCCAAACAGGACAGGTTTCTCCACTATGATGGTCTCCATCAGGTCCTTGTGGTTGTTATACCTAAGACATGAAATCACATGAGTGAATTCTAGGTGGGAATGGCACTCAGGAACTAGCGCACTTGTCCACAGGGTGTAACTGATTCACACATGTGCTCCTGTGCCTCTCAGAAAGGAGAACACAGGAAATTTCTTTTGCTGTACAGATGAATTTTTGGACCATTGTTTATAAGCATGCATCAATTCTGTCAATAAATGTTACAGCTGGTGTGCTACAGTTGTGCTTTCTGAAAACTGTGAATGAGAGAATAGATTATCCTGCCCACCGATTCTGTCTGTATGCCTTTTCTAAATATATCAAAATAGAGAAGCTATTTTAATTCTCCATGTGCCTTAAGCAATATAAAACATCAAGCTTTACTCAGGCATGATTTGAAGCAAGCTATTGAAAAGTCACGTCCTACAATTTACTTCTCAGCTTCTATCTATAATTGGATTGATAAATAATCAAAATATGTACTCAATCAAATCCATTTTGAAAATCATTTGACTTAATATGAAAAATAAAATGGTCATTTGGCATTGCAAGGTAGAAATTAACTGAATAAAAGCCTTGTTTTAAAAGACTAAGCACTTTTACTGACAAAGCACTAAGTATGTACATTCACAGTTAGTTCGGCTGACACCATCTATCCACAAACCATCACCCAAAGCTATCCATCTCCATTCATGAGGGGCATCTGAAAATCACCTGTTAGCAATACCAAGGTGCCTCCCTGGACAAGGACGACTGCTGGTACGGTAACAGATACAGATAACTAGGAGGATTGTGTTCTATAGCGCAGCAGGGTGAGTATAATGAACAAAAACTCAATGTATACTTCAAAATAGTGGGAAGAGAGAATTATCCTAATTTACATCCATGTGTTAAGATTATCATACTGTTTGCCATGAATGTGTACAACTATATGTATCAATTAAAAATGAGAAAACACTTTGACTTTGCGATTTCATGGCCCTGGGAGTTCTCAAGACAGCATTATAATACTCCCGATGGATCTAACAGACTGTTGCGCAGTGGAAGCAGTGTTGAGGATTCACAGCTATCATGAGATTTCTGGGTTGGACTCTTGGAATTTCTTAAGCCTCAGAATTCTAAGTTTCTAATAAAAATGCATGGTAAGTAGAATCTGGAGGATTCTCTGAACTCTGAATTCCCCAATTGGTTTTAATCTTTATAGACAAACTCCTCTAATCTTCAATCCAGCATCTTTCTATGAAATGTCAGTATTTTGGTTAGTTATTATTCCCCAGTGAAAAATGTTATCATTTTAGGAGAAATAATTCTGTATTATAATTGTGATATTTTATATGTATTTAGCATTTATAGAAATCCTCTCAGGAATCCCCAAAATATGTCAGTGAACAAAAGTCTGTAAATATACAGCCATAGTATTAAGTACCTGATTAGCAACACAGAAAAATCACAAATTTTTATAGAAAATACTTCTTAAGAGATATTTCTGTTTTTTTTTTTAATTTTTTAAAGACATCTCTATTTATGTAAAAGGCAGACACACACACAAAAGGAGGGGGGGAGAGAGAGAGAGAGAGAGAGAGAGAGAGGAAAGAGAGATCTTCCACTATCCAGTTCACTCCCCAGATGCCCACAACAGCCAGGTTGGATCAAGCTGAAGCCAGGAGGCCAGAACTCCATCCGGGTCTCCTACATGGGTGGCAGGAATCCAGGCACCTGAGCCATTATCTGCTGCCTCCCTTGGTGGACATCAGCAGGAAGCTGATCAGAAATGTAGGTGGGACTTGATCCTAGGTACTCTGACATGCATATTGGCATCCCAAGTGTGGCTTAACCCACTGCACCACAGTGCCTATTCCCATTTATTAAATTTTATTTATGCATTTAAGTATTTATTTGAGAGAGAGAGAGGAAAATCTTCCATCTGCTGATTCACTACCAAAATGCTGACAGTAGCCAAGGCTAAGGCCAAGCCAAAGCCAAGAGCCTAGAACTCAACTGGGGTCTCCCATGTGGGTGACAGGGATCCAAGTACTTTAGCCATCACCTGCTGCCTCCTGGGGTCTGCATTAGCAGGAAGCTGGAACTGGAAACAGAGTTGGTACTTGAACCTCGGCACCCCAGTATGGGATGCAGCTATCCCAAGAAGCATTTAACTCCTGTGCCAAAAGCCTGCCCCAGGTTTTATCTATTGATATTAACATCCTTGATGGAAAATCTCTGGTTTTTAAGGTGGTGGTAGTAGAAATAACACTAACCTTTGATGAGAACTTTCCATGGCCCAGGTATTTTGTTAAGTACTGGGCAACATTTTCTCACTGAAACCTCACATCTATCCTATGAAATAGAAACTAATTTTACCCTGATTTCACCAAAAGATGGTGGCATCTAGAAAGAGTAAATCTTTACCAAATATACGTAGCAGGAAGCTGCATAAGGAGGAGTTACAGTGGTCTCCATGGCAAAGTGCTGCTGGCTTGGACTAGATCATGAGAGTGGGAATCAAAGGGAGGGGACTGGAGATGCACCTGACAAACAGCGATCACAGCCACTGGACTGAGTGTGACAGAAGAAGGAGCAGAAACCACAGGTTCTGGCTTGAGTGCAGGCGTTCATTTCCATGAGGGAGACTGAGAGAGAAATAAGTTGATGTGTGTTACCAGAAAGAGAAGAAAACATTTTGTAGTCACGCTACATATATCATTTTATATATATATATATATATATATAAAACTATACACACTCTCTCACACACATAAATAGATATATATTTTTAAAACATGATCTCAGGGAAGACTATTCATTCACCTTCTGTCTTTATACTGTCCCACCATGGGAAACCCTGAACCAGGACTCTGAAGTGCCTGTTTGTTTTTTTTTTTTTTGCTAATGTATCAGTTCATTAAAGTAGGGCACATGTTCCCGAAGGGAAATCTAACATGAAACCACCATTCAGTGGCCATCCCTCCTGCATGGTTTATAGGAACCTTAGCAACAGCATCGTCCAGAAGTGACTATTCTTTGTCTGCTCTCCCTTGCAGCACATTCCTCACTTCAAATCCAACTACCCCTCTTTAGCCCAAAAGTATCTTACTACTGAACAGGTGCCCTGTCTTCAATGCTATTTGCAATTCCAAAGGCATGCTCCTGTCACTGTTTTAACATGTATCCAGAAATGTCCATTCTGTGCCATTATAATCTATGCCACTTTGTTATATTTCTTTTGAATTTTAGGAAACAATAGGTATTAATAAATACTGGGGCCAGAACTGTGGTGTAGTGGGTGAAGTTGCTTCCTGCAGTGCTGGTATCCCATATGGGCGCTGGTTCAAGTCCTGGCTGCTCCACTTGTGATCCAGCTCTTTTCTGTGTCCTGGGAAAGCAGTAGAAGATGGCCCAAGTCCTTGGGCTCCTGCACCCATGTGAGAGAACTGGAAGAAGCTCCTGGTTCCTGACTTTGGATCAGCGCAGCTCTGGCCATCGCAGCCATCTTGGGAGTGAACCAGCAGAGGGAAGACTTTCTCTCTCTCTTTCTCCCCCTGCCACCCCGCGCCTCTTCTTCTCTATAATTCTGCTTTTAAATAAATAAATCTTTTTAAGGAGAGAGAGAGACAGAATAAGTAATGACAATCAAAGAATAAAAGTGTGAAATTGACCAACACAGCATCTGAAAAGCATGACAAACTGGACCCATGGAAACATGATGCCTAGGTGACTGGGGGTTAAGGCTTCAACATAGGAATTTAGGGAGAACACAAATCATCCCATATGTTCCAGTATGCACCTTACATGCTGATTTCATCAAAATAGTATCCTACATCTAATGCTCATTCTGCTTATTAATAAGCCACTAACGTTCACATTGAAAACTCTTTTATATTTACTACGCCGATTTACGAAGTTTCACCCACTTGTTTTCATCAGGGGCTTCGCCATCAGTCAGGTGCAACGGCATCTGATTGACAGAGTCTAGTATCAAGGGAGGCTAATGAAGTAAGTTTCTGACCTTTCTGCTGGAGCGGGGAACTCACACAGTCAGGTTGTATCTCTTTATCTATTCCAGCACAGATGATGTGATATTCAGTGTCTGCCAGCTTCAACTCTAGGGGCAACCTATTGCCTTGACAGAGAATGTACACCTGACAGTACCCAGGAGACTACAACAAACGGTCCAGTTACCATCAGTTGAATAGTGTCATGGGAACAACAGTATTGTGTGGAGTTTGCCCACATTTCATTACTTCAGTGGCTCACTGTCTCCTGGAGATTCTTCAAGGAACCTCACAGATAACCACTCAGCATTCATTTCTTTGCAGCCAAGCCATTAGATATCAATCCTTGGATTTTCACAAAGTATACAAAAGATACACTATAGTACAGTGAAATCCTCGCTCACACAAGCAGTGTATCACATGTTGACCAGCTGACCTATATTTAGACATATCAGCACCAAAAGTAGGGAGAATTAGAGAATCAGCTTGTGTTAAAATCAGAAGGCATTATGGCAGACTGTCGCTCCCCCTCTTCGTGGAGGAACGACACTAAACCTTGCCTAGGCTTCATATCCGAGTCACGGCACCATTATGTCGCTCCCCGTCTTCGTGGAGGAGCAACACAGGACCCTGCGCTGTTCTTTCGTCTGCTCGGCCCTCCCCGGGTTTGCTGCTGGTTCTTCCCGGGTTGGCTGCTGGTCCTTCCACCTCCGTGGAAGGGCGGTTCCCCCTGCCACCTTCCCCACTTCTGCGGGGGAGTGGCACACTGCCGGCCGGCTCTCTCGGGGGCTGCACAGGTGTTCCCCTTAGATGTTCCTGGTGCATGCCGTCTCTTTCCTCCTTTATAGTCCTCCTCCGCCAATCCTAACTCGGCTGCCCACACGCCGAGTACGCTGCTCTCCTCCAATCAGGAGCAGCTCCTGCAGCTTGTCAAGTTGGTGAGAGGCAGCTGGGTAGAAGCTGTTGCCTCCTCTCCCAGCGCCATATTGTGGGAGAGCAGATGCATAGAATAAGTCTTAATTCCAGTAACTCAGTCCAGTCCGGGTTGCTCCCCACAGCAGACATCTGATACAGGTGGAGAAACAGAGACCCAAAGAAGAAAGATGGTGGGATCATCGCATCTGATTTCATTTCTACCCACAAAAGGATGTGTTTAAGTAGCCTCCATCCCTCACTCTGTGATAACAGTCCTCACCTAAAGATTATTTTTATTTAGGTTGAATCCCTAAACCTGCCCATGTTAGCCTGAAAGGTGAATACAATAGATATTCCTATTCGGGGAGATGTAATTTAAGAGAGAACAGTGTTCTATTTCTGTTTGGACCAATACTGCAGGGTGGTGGGCAGAGGTACCTGAAAAATGAGCACTGCTGGGTCTCTATCAGAGACCCCCAGAGCCACGGTGTGCCCCTGAGCTACCTTTCACCTAGGCATCAATGCCCCGGCCCCAGCAAGCAGTCACAACAGAGAGGCTGCGGCCGCTTGCTCCATCCCATCTCTGTGCCAGAGAGCAATTCAGCCAGGTTTTAGGTCAGAATCTTCCTAGGTGGTGGAGGAAGACTCAGGGAAACTGAGAAGGACCAGACCCCCCCCTCCCCAAACCCGGCCCCACATCTTCCCTACTCAGGCCAGGCCAGTCAAAGGGAGCTCTGCTATGGGGGAGGGGGGAGGTTAAAGGTACACAATGACTATTTTCTTTTATGTTTTTGGGTGTGGGTGTCATTTGGGATAATTCTCTCCTCTATGTTTGACATTCAGCGATATCTGTGGTTGCAGTTCTGTTTTTTCTTCTGAATTTTTGTATGTGTTTTAAAACCCAAATTGTTCAAAGAAATGCATATTGTTCCTGGAAGTCAACATGGCATTATCTTCTAAATTAAATGTATTTTTACAGAGAATTAAATCTCCTGTAAACATAAAAGCTAAAAACTGTTTCCTAAGTCCCCTTGCTTCAGAATTTAAAGTATTTTGTGGTGATTTGGTTGGGTTTTTTCGGGGGGAGCAGAGGGTGGAAGGGATGGAGGAAGGGAGAGCTACCATACTTCAGTAGATCAAGAAAAAATTATTTAACTATTTACACATTGTGGGGAGCAACTCGGACTAGACTAAGTTACTGGAATTAAGACTTATTCTCTGCATCTGCTCTCCCACAATATGGCGCTGGGAGAGGAGGAAACAGCTTCTACACAGCTGCCTCCAGTTCGACCAGTAACCTGCAGGAGCTGATCCTGCTCCTGATTGGAGGAGAGCAGTGTACTCGGCGTGTGGGTAGCAGAGTTGGGATTGGTGGAAGAGGACTATAAAGGAGAGAGACAACAAGCACGAGGAACATCTAAGGGGAACACCTGAGGAACATCTGAGCAGCCCCCGAGAGAGCCGGCCAGCGGTGTGCCACTCCCCCGCGGAAGTGGGGAAAGTGGCCAGGGGGAACCGCCCTTCCACGGAGGTGGAAGGACGGCAGCCAACACAGGAAGAACCAGCAGCAAACCCGGGGAGGGCCGAGCAGACAAAAGAACAACGCAGGGTCCTGTGTCGTTCCTCCACGAAGAGGGGGAGCGACAACACATCACACTATACTACCTGATCCTTCAAGGCTTCCTCACGTTGATAAAGTTCATCCTGATTATGCTTCCATTCATGCAACCACTCCTTCATTCACGAAAGTTGACTGCAAACCCCTTAAGTTCAAAGCACTATGCTAAGAGAAATGTATAGGAGAGAAGCTTGGAGCATTTAAGAACGGGATGTTGGCACACATATACATTGAAGGCACATTATTTAAGCTTCTGAAATCTTGGACTAATTAAAGTGCAGGAAAAGTGGCATCGATGTAGCTGGCAAAACTGCAAACAAGGGAGATCTCAAGCAGTAAATTCATTCGCCAGTAAACCCCAATTCATTAAGTCTATCCAAAGGAAAAGCTAATTACTAGCTTTAGTTAATTGCTTTCCTGGCTCTGCAACCTTAATACAGAAGGCAAGAGGAGGCAAGAAGGGATTGAAGAAAAGATCCTTCCAAAATGTACTCCGGACAATCAAAATCACAGCTGCTCCTCCCTGGCTGTGGAGTTGGACAGATTCTCTTACCCGGGTCCTGCGAGGGCTTAGGAGAAACAAGAGGGGTGACTGTGAGAGTGGCGCATTACTTGGTCTTTGGCCTGTGCCCGAAGGCCCAACACTTTTTGAGTGGGGTCTTTCAAGACTCAGCTCAGACACCTTTGCAAGGAAGCGTTTGGACCCTCCTTGTCCCCATCTCCACACACAGCCAGGCCCACAGGGCCCTGATGCACATCCCCACATGTCTGTGCTTGCCCTTCACAGGGCATCCCGTAGCATCAGCATTCCTCCAGGCCTTTGGGTGCTTAGCACATAGTAGGCACTCAATAAATGATTTCTGGAAAGCTATGGTACATAGTTCACGAAATTTCTAGAATGTAAATTTAAGGGAAAATATAAAGGAAAATGGGCATTGCGTACATTTAAATAATACAAATATATAAAGGAAAGTTTACATATTAAAAAAAAATTGGCAGATAGCAGAGGAGAAGCGATGGCTTATCCCACAAAGTATATGCAATCCACCACATCTTCCAAATTGCTAGAATAGAGGTAATTAGCCTAAAGGTAACTCTCAACTCCAATCGCTGAAGGTGTGGGGTCCACTTATTTTTAATAGAGGGAGCATTTCAGAACAGGATGTTGACACACGTATT